GGGGGGGAAAAAAACCCACAGCCCCCCCACACCAACACGCAGCACACCCGAGGTCTGCACAGCTGCTTCCTCCTGTGCTCTCTGGCAAGGGACATCAAGGGCTTGGCAGATCCCAGCCAGCCCCCCCCCCCTGCTTTGGAAATCCCACCAGAACAATAGAGGAGCCCATCCAGCCCTGCTGGGAGGCTGGAGCAGGGCAGGCTGTGCCTGCACAGGAGCTGCACACCCCGTGCAGGCTGAGCCTAATGGACTTAGGGGGGGTTTAAGGGCTCGGGAAAGAGGAGCTCGCACCAGGGAACTGCCCATCTCTTGCTGACAGCCCCACTCTCTCATTAAGGATTTTAAGCCTGCCCTGAATGAAAGCAACAAACACACCAGCAGGAAGCTGGGAGTCGGTGGAGCGAGGAGATTTAGTGGGAATCAGTGCCCAGGCTGCAGTTGGAGAGAGGGAGGGGGGGATAAAAAGCACCAAGGGATGCTGAGAAAGGGCCACGGGGACTCTGAACCCCCAGCAGTGCCATCACCCTCATCACAGAGGCCAAGGAAACCTCCACCACTCCTTTCTCACAGAAGCAAGTGGACATTTTCAGCACGTTTCTAGAGAATTAAGCATTCCTTTGCTGCAGGAGAGGCAGTGCCAGAAAGCCAAAGAGCCCCAGAGCCAGGGCTGGGCCGGCCGCACAGTTCCTCTTTCATCTCTGGGTGCAAAGAGAAACAAAACTGGGGCTGGTGCCTGGGGAACAATGCACTGCTGTGTACACACAGCCAGGGACCTTGGGGAGACACTGCAGCTCTGTGATTGCTGCTTTTGGATGCAAAATGCTGGGTTTTATAATTCCAGCTCAGCCACAAGTCACTGCGTGACCACTGCTGTCACCTCTTTCCCTGCCTCTGCTCCCCTCCTCCTCCTCCTCCTCCCCTCACCATTGAGGCTCTTGCTCTCCCATCAGGATAAAATTAACCCCAATGACGTAAAATAAAAGCACCCAGAGTGAGGGAGAATATGATCTGGTCTTCACTGGTTTATCTGCATACCTTTCTGAACCCCACTCTAAGCTCACACAGTCCTATACTCTGATCTTCTGGGGCAGCTCCATTCCCTCAAGTCATTCCTCAAGAGGTGAGGAAGAGTTCCAGGCTGGAAACATTCCCTTCCAGCAAGGTGGTGACCCTCAGGGTGACCTGGGAGAGAGACCTGGTGTCACCTCACTACAAACTGGACCGAGCTGAGCAGCTCAAAACCTGCTCAAAAACCTCTGCCATCCTGCCCACGAGCTCCTTAATGGCAGGGTGAGGAATTAGGAAGCTGAAGGCAGCCCATGTGAGGCTCCTGAACCTCCCCATAGATACACAAGCTCATGTCCCCAGTGCCCAACTCCATGTTATTAGGATAACTGCTAGACAAGTTCAAAAGGCAGCTGCCTTCCAAGTCACCCAGCCAGGAGAAGCTATAATTTCTCTCACTGTAATTTCCCTCTGTGATTATAACAGCGGTTGACTGAGTCAACACAGGCAATGTCAGCAAGAGATTTCACCCAAGGACAGCAGATACCCAGGGAAGAGGCAGAGCCTGGGAGGAGGGGCTGAAATGTGTGTGGGAGCTGGCCTGGATAGCTGGAGTTCTCACTGGGATATTAAACAGGCTGCAGGATCAGAGAGACAGCAAATATACAGGGCTTAACTTCATCCCTTCCGAAGGGCTGGGAGCAGGGGAAGGCAGCCCCTGCCTCTGCTCAAATCACAGGGAGTTTTCCCACTGGTTTTGAGGGGGGATTTTACCCATCACAGGCAATGAGCAACCAAAGCATCACCGGGTTTGGAGAGGCCACCCCCGGTCCTGGCACTGAGACTCCCTTCTCCAACAGCTCCAGGGACAGCTTTATATCCTGGGGCATCAAGCTGGGAAAACAGGGGCTCAGAAACAGGGTGTCCTGTGCAGGGACAGGAGCTGGACTTCAGTGCCCCTCATGGGTCCCTTCCAACTCAGAGATATTTTATGATTCTACAAAAAAAAAAATGACATTTTTATCTCACAAAAATTGTGGCTCTGTGGATGAGAAAGAACCTCTTGTAAAGGGCAACTTCAGAACAAAACTCTGGAAGGGCTGTTCTCTTTCCATGGAACACAGAGGAGCTCAGAGAAGCAAACCTGATAGGTTGGAGCATCCCTAATAACCCCCCCACTCCTTCAAAACCTTCTGTGGACCGTTCTGGAATCCTCCTTTCATCCCTAATGCCCAAACACTGCATTCTGACATTTGAAAAGGGCCAGAATCCAAGTCTTTTTTTTTTCCAGACCAATGTTATCCTAAAACACACAGGGCCATTCCCCCTCAGCTGACATGCCCACACTAATATTGTTTTAAAGTGGGGACAGAGGGGAAAAAAAAAAAAAGAAATTGTCATCTCAGAGCAACAGCCCTATCACAACAGGTCATCTGAGCCCAGCAAAACCAGCCCTGTTTGCTCCTCCATCAGCAAAGTCAGCTGGAGCCTTGCCTTGGGCACTGGGGAGGGCAGGGACAGAAGGATCATAGCTGGAATTCCTGCTCAGATGGCCCCGGGGGAGCCAGAAGAGAAATCAGCTTTAACTCCTCGGGTGAAACAACTCGGGAGGGCTGTGGGAGCATCACCCCCAGCTGCGCTGATGGATTTACTGGAAAAGGCAAGCAAAGGAGAGCAGGGCTTGGAAACAACAGGTTACATATTCCTGAAGCCCTGTGTGTGCTCCCCCTGGAGAATTAAAGGAATCAGAGCTGAGCCTCACTGAAGCTCCAGGTGGATTCCTGGCACTGCTCAGGTCGCCAGGATTTCGCCCCCAGTTTTTATAAACCCAAACCACATCAGTGGGAAACATACCCAGGACTCTCTCTTGGTTTTAATTTCGCTGAAAACCCTATGGAAAATAAATATTTCCCTACGGTGACAGCAAAGTGAACAGCCTCAAAGTGCCCTCCTGCATGAAAAATGCGAAATAAATTGAAGCATGAAGCCGACCAACCTGTTTGCTTGCCCAAAATCAGGGCTGTGTATAAACAGAGGGAGCAAAGGTATTTGTAAATAAATCATACCAAGTTTGCTTAAAGCACAAATGAAGAAACGTGTTTGTTTGTTTGTTGGGTTTTTTCCCACAAATCTCACATCCAAAAAGGCCTTTTTTTTCCAAGAAAAAGCCCAGGAACAGAGGCACACGGTGGGACACGTGTCCATGGGAGGAGCAGGTTCTTTGGAGAAGTCCCAGTAATTAAAATATACAATGATATGCAACTGTGAGAGTGCAATTTTCAGGCTGTAATTTGTCGCCAGTATTACGAACCAGCTCCCTAAATATTGCCTTACTTATCATAAAAAGAAAAAAATAATAATAATAATAAAAAAAAAAAACCTCTGCCATCAACCACATCCCACCTGCTCTGGGAAAGGCCACCCACCAAGAGCACATTCAGGAGGGCAGCTCTCCCTGCTCCAACGTGCAAAAAAAACTCCTGCAAAGGCTGGAATTTCGCTGAGGAAACAGCTGAGCTGACACAGGCCCCGAAGCTTTGAAGCCTGGCTGGATCATTAGTCCTGGTTTCCACAGCTCCAGGGGCTGATTCCCACCCTTCAGAAACGATTCCCACCCTTCAGAAATGCCTGGCCATCAGCCCAATCGGCGCCCTTGCCACAAAGCTTTAGGAAGATGGTTTTTTTTTGTTCAGAGATATTTTGTATTTTAGACACTCAGGAGGATCACGTTTAGTTATTTTGATCTAATTCAACTTAACAAGGAAGAACAAAATGGTAGTTCAAGTGTGAACCAGGTGCATTAGTAACAAAGGAACCACCAGTGGAACAAAGTCAACGAACTGAAGCCGAATTTTCTGAAAAGAGAACACCATTTCAGTGCTGTTCATTTAAACTGACAGCAAAGACTTGAGGAAAAACTGGATATTAGTGCACACAAGGAGTCCCCAGCTCCATTCCCACCTCACATTCCCCGTGTGGGGTTACCTTCGTGCACAAACCTCACACTCTGAGCTGAGAACGTCACGAAAAAATAACTTTCCGGATTATTTTAAGGTGATTTATTCGAAGCATCAGGCCAAGTTCACAGGCCAGGCTGTGTCTGGACCACTGGCTCCCACTCCCAACCTCCACAGCGGTCGATCCAAGTCCAGGGATCAACGACAGCTCCAAGAGAGGAAGATGTTCCAGTCCTAACAGAGCTGGGCTTGAACTGAGGAGGCTTAGGCTGATCCCTGGCTGTGCCTGAGATCTCTTTATATCCCTGGATTGGACAACAGGCACTAAACCTGTTCTGGACCGTGTTCTTTATTCCTCTGTGCCTCAACTCCCCTCCTGTGCAATGGCAGCACCTCAGAGCACATGAAAGGCTGGAAGATGCTCAGATATTGCATCACTTCACACCTTCATCCCCCAAGAGACTCCAGGGCACCATGGCAGAGTTCACACTGCAGCACAGGGGTTTATTTGTACTCCAGTTCAGACAACAGGACCAACAGTGACTTGCTCGTGGAGTTTTATGACCCTGACTCTGACAGGCCCAGCAACACAAGCAGGGACAGAGAGCCTGGAGCTCATTCCTGAGGCATTCCAGAGGCAGAGGGCAACACCATGAGTGCCTAATCCTGCTGTCAGCAGAACAGCCAGTCTGTCTGTCTGTTTATTTTGAGGTATTTTCACTTCCCAATCCCTCTCTTCCCCCAGAAGAGGACACGAGCAGAGAAGGAACCGCGCTAAACAAAAACCCGGTGCTGAAGCTGCAAGTGGGCACGTGAAACCCCTTCAGCAAGTGGCCCAGCTCTCAAAGACACACAGAAAACAACACTGGCATCGAGCTGCTGGGTGGGAACAGCGTGATGGACATCTCTCCACAGACATCATGGAGACAGGAACCACCACCTGGTCCCAAATGTGTGGCTTCCAAAGAGCTCCTGAGCTTATCTGAGACAGGGAAAGGCCCAGCTTTGCTGGAACAGAAAAAAAACCCAGCCACTTACTGATCATGGTGGTGCCTCCAGCCAGGGCTGCCTTGGTCCCTTGGAAGAAGTCATCAGCAGATGTCATGCCCTGCTCCGGCATCTGGAAGCGGGTGTGGACATCAATCCCTCCGGGAATCACCATCCTGCCGTGGGCTTCGATGGTCTTCACCCCCCCTGGCACAATCAGGTTCTCCCCTATTTGCCTGGGGAAAAAAAAAAGAGGTTCCCAAGAGCACTGTCAGGCCCAGCCAGGTGTAAACAAACACCCCCTGGGCTACTTAACCTGGCTGCAGCTTTCTTTTTCCACATAAATGAGGGCACAGCACGTTGGTTGAGAGGATTTTATTCTCCCCCCTTGGAGCAGCTGCAAAATTGGGAGCGGGGTTTGCAATTCCTTCAGGACATCAGGGCAACGATAAAGGGATTGTTTTGTACTTTTGTTTATATATTTATATTGTATTTTTGGTTTAAAGTCATGTGTTTTATATATATATATATAAAAATATAAATATACAAATACATAAATTATAAATATATTTATATTATCTTCTAATCAAGGAAGGAAAAGGAGCCCCCCTGGCAGCTGGGGAAGGGGCAGTGCAGGTCATGGATTATCACTGCCCCAAAACCAGCTTTACTGGGGCTGGACTGGGGTGGCCAAGTGGCAGCTCAACACTCGATTCCAGCCCTCCCACACCCACTCAGATCTTAGCACTGCTCTGGGAGCATTGGGAGGACCTTTTGCTTCTGCATTATCTACTTTCCTCTCATGCACAAGTCCCTGCACAAACACAAACCCAGGCAGATGGTGGTTACCAAAGTCCTGGCGAGACCCTCAGAGGTGCCTCCAGCCCAGCTCCTCACAGACACACCTCTCCAAGTGCAGTAGTGGATGACACACTGCAATTAATTAGCTGTCCCTGGCTGGCTCCTTTAACTTTTAACCTTGATTAACAAAGCACATGTGCTGGCTGTTTATGCAGCACAGGAAAATTCCTTGTTTGTAACCTCTGGCTTGTCTTTTTTTCTTTTTTTTTTTTTTTTTTTTTTTTTTTTTTTTTTTTTTTTTTTTTTTTTTTTTTTTTTTTTTTTTTTTTTTTTTTTTTTTTTTTTTTTTTTTTTTTTTTTTTTTTTTTTTTTTTTTTTTTTTCCCTAGGAGTAATTTTCCAAAGAAATCTGTAATGTATTTAACATTGCCAGAAAGGCATGTTCTCAGCACTGAAAACACAGAGAGAGGCCTGAACCTCTTCAACCACAGGCTCGTTTTTTTTTTTAGCTTTGAGGGGGTTTGGATTGATCTCTGCATCACAGAACCAGAGAGTTCAGCGCTGCAAGAGGCTTCCAGAGGTCACCTAAGTCCAGCCTCCCATCCTAAAACAGAATTTTAAGTGTGTTAGGACACTGAACTCTGGATTCAAAATATCTGAAGTCATAACTCAGTCAAACATTACAACGCAGATAACTTCAAACACATGTGTCATCTCAGCATGGGGCTGCTCACATGGCTGAAATTAAGCACATGTAAGTGCCTCCTCTGAGCCCTGAGTGGGGTTTGGGCCCAGTTGTTTATTTAATTCAACACCTTGTTTTTAAAGTCCCTTCATTAAACACCAGGATATACATGAAATACTCTCTTTTTTTTTTTTTTTACCCCCACTGCAATTTAATAGAGCTCAGTGAGACCAAGCCTTGCCTTGCTCTCTGCAGTGCACTTCTGCACATCCCCAACCACAACAGGACATCGAGACTCAACTTACTTTATCAACCCATCCTCCATGTAAATGTCTGCATAAAAAGACTGGTCGTCATTAACTATTTTACCACCTTTGATCAGCAGACGATCGCTCTGCAACAGAAGGAGACACAGCACAAGGCACAATTATTCAGGGAGAAGGCTGACAAGCCTGCAGTGTCACTCCAGAGATGAAAGGGGAGGTGAAGGCATCAAGCCCTGCATTATTCACCAGCGCACGTCAAACCACGAGTCAACCCTCCGCACTTTCAACTGGAGAGATAAAAAATGTTTCATCGCGGCCCCGGGTCCTTTCATCACACCAGCGATCAAAGAAACCATCAGAACGGCAAAGGAGGGGGTTTATTGGCAGCTCCACTCCTACCTGCAGCTTGGCACCACCACGTGCAGCAGCAGCAGCAGCATTAAATAATCGTGGGAGGGGCGTGGAAGGAGCCACATCTCTATTTTTTGATGCACAGTTTCCTATGTGTGCACCCACACAAGCCGAGTCACCGCTTGGCTCAACGTGAGGAGCCGACTGCTGTCAGGGAAGTGGCCCAAAAGTCTGTTGCCAGGGGTTACACAACACAAACAGCCTCCCCTGGTCCAATTTAGTGATGTCTCCACGCAGTGGATCCTCGCTGAGCCCTTCCAGAGCTCCCCTGCACAAGCAGATGGGAGGCGAGCACGGGATCAGCACCCGGAGTTTGTCAGAAGGATTTACAAGATCCCCTCAAATCAGAAGACCCTTTGGCAGGACCAGGAAGGTTATTATAAAAAGGCAGCTATCAGGCAACGTGATTTTATCACAGCACGGGGCACAGCTCGCCTCTGCCAGATTTTAGGTCAAAAACAAATGTATCTTTTTTTTTTGGTGTTTTTTTGCAGTAGCCATCAACAAGAGTAGCAGCCATCAACACACTGCAGAGCTCTGGGTGGGAGGAGAGTTAAAAAGGGGCTGCTGCACCCCCCTGATCCCTCCATTCCCCACATCACAGATGCACTTTTAAAGCAGATGACTATTTAGGGCAAAGCACACACGTGTTATGCAGGGTTTGGTTCGAACCACACCTGGGCCCCCCCGGAATCTTGCACTTGTACTTACTGTGATTCTTTTTCCTCCTCCCAAAAACCGCCCTTGGGAGAGAACAAAGCGATCCCAGCACAGCCAAAGGCTGGGGGAACCAAAAGCTGACTTTAACGAGGGGTGGGAAGCAGGAATTTAATTCAGAGGTGCCCTGAACTTATAGAAAATATATATAATACAGTGACAGTGGTGCTCAGGGCCCCTATCTTGCATCAGCTACTGATTTATACCATTATATCCATCTTTTATACAACTGCTGAACATCCATGAGATGCTAAGTCCTTCTCCCTCTTTTTTTCCCCATCTCCTTCTTCCTCCTGCTGACACAGGAGACTTTCCCTGGGTAAAGCCACCGACTCCAAAACCAAAAAAAAGAAACCCAGGAAATCCAGGAGCTGCTGCCAACGCCAACAAGCCTGGATGAATTAACGTGGGGAGTGAAAAACCCATCTTACAAGGCCAGCCTACGTGTTTACCACTTCCAGAAGCACTGCAGTACTGATGCCACCTCCAGAGCAGGCTCCCTGTGCCATTAAAATGCGGGAGTTTGGCCTTGGATGTCACCCCCAGCCCGAGTCCCAGCGCACTGGGCACCAGTTAGGGAAGAAGAAGGAAAAATAGATGTGGATAGCGGCCACAAAAACGCAGCCTGGAGCATTTTAATGACGCTTCTGCTAACCACCAGGGCTGCTGCTGAGGATTTGGAGGGTCTGAGACGAGGGTGAAACCTTCCTGCTCGTCTCCAGCACCCTGGAGACAAAAGCACAGGGAGTTTTGTGGGAGGCCCTGCCGCTGAATCCGCCTCGTTCACCCTGTGGATGCAGAGAAACCAGGGCAGCCACACATCCACTATCCTCCTTCTTCAAGGCTGGTCATTCCAGGTTTATACCACAGCAAATAAGGGCAGAATGTGATTTTTTTTTTCCCCATCCCTTCGCAGGAGGGTTGGGCTCACACAACGTAAATCAGAGCGTTCAGCCAGAAGAAAAATGCGTCACGTTCCTTGAAGCCCCTGACAGGGGTCCAGGCAGGAACCCCCATCTCTCATTTAAACAGCTTTTTAAAACTCTTTACTGTTGGATCTTGGGAGGGGAAACTACCTCCCTACACCCCCTCCCCCAAAAAAATATAATTAAAAAAATAAAATTTAAAAAAAGGATGCTTCATTTATCGCAATTCTGTGCATCCCACCGCTGTAACTGTCCAACCCGGCGGCTCCTGCCCAAAATACAACACGTCAAAGCCCCGCTCCAGAGCTCCCTTTCCTGCCCCCGAGGATGAGGAAGGAGGACGAGGATGGGTGTGTCCGTGGGGCTGGGCGAGGAGCGCCTGCCAAGGAGAAGAAACTCTCGTGTCCAAAGGGGAAAAAAAAAAAAAAACAACAAAAAAACCCCAACAAAACCAAAAAAACAAAACCAACCAGCGGCTCCAGCAGCCCGTTAGACGGGAATGTCTTATGTAACCAAAAGTTGGTACCCTTGGATCTGCAATACCTGCCCTAAATCGGCTCCCACAACAAGGAGACCGAGGGAGGGGTTGGGATTTTATATAACGGCTCCTTCCCTGCTCCCCCAGGATCGCTCCGAGACCTGCGCCTTGCCAGAAGCTTCTTGGGGGGGAAAAAGGCGATCCTGGACCATCCCCGGGCGGGGATGGAGGGGTTCGGGCTGATCCCCCCCCACCCACACCCACCGCCCGGAGCCGGGATGGGGCGGGTGGGGATGGAGCACAAACCGGGGGCACCGAGCCCACCCCGGGAACGCACCCAGGGATGGGAGAGCCCCCCGGGGGCAGGGAGAGCCCACCCTGGGCACACACCCAGGGCAGGAACCCCTCCCTGAGCACACAGCAAGGGTTGGGGGGGGGGGTCCTTCGAGGGCAAACACCGAGCCCACCCTGGGCACACAGCGAGGGCAGGGACCCCTCCCTGGGCACACAGAGAGAGGGCATCGTGCCCACCCTGGGCACACCCCGAGGGCCGGGAGAGCCCCCCCGGGGTCGGCAGAGCCCATCCCAGGCACCCGCCGAGGGCACCGATCCCCCCGCCCGGGGATCCCCGCGGTACCGCGGGGGCGATGCCGCCCAGCCCGCCCCCGGCCGGGGCTCAGCATCCCTCCCCGGCTCTACCGACCCCGGCCCCCCTCCCCCGAGCCCCCCCCCGGGCGCTGCAGCACAGGAAGCGCCGCATTATCCCTGATCCCATTATCCTGCCCCAGCCCCGCATCGCTCCGGCACACAAAGGGCTCCATCCCCGCGCACCCCTCCCCCTTCCCCGCCGCTATTCCACTCACCGTGATCCGCGGGATATTTTTCTTCCCCTGATAAGACATCTTGGGAAAAAAATCAACCCCCGGTTGCGTTTATGCAATAACG